ATAATTGAATTCTTTTAAAGAATTTTATTAAATTTTTTGCAAATAACTGAATTCTTATGAAAAATTTTATCAAAAATAATTGAACTGCAGCGAAGAATTTTACTATTTATAAAAATAATTGAATAGTTGCTAAGACCTTTATTAAAATTTTCAAAAATTATTGATTTCCTAAGCAAAATTTTATTATTTATAAAAATGTTTAAAAAGAATTGAATTTTTGTAAATAATTTTGTTATTTTTGAAAATAATTGAATTCCTAAAAAACATTTTATTATTTATAAAAATAATTGAATTCTTGCGAACGATTTTATTAGAATTTTTTAAAGATAATAATTGAATTTTCAAGAAGAAATTTATTACTTTTAAAAATAATTGAATTCTTGTGATAAATATTGTTATTTATGAAAATAATTGAATTTTGCAAAGAATTTTATTACATTTTTCAAAAATAATTGAATTCCTGAGAAGAATTTTATTATTTATGTTTAAAAATGTTTAAAAAGAATTGAATTTCTGTGAAAATTTTTTCTTATTTTTGTGAAAATAATTGAATTTTTCATTAGAATTTTATAAAACTTGTTTTCAATCATTAATTTTTTCGTAATATGTAATAAATATTATGCAACTTTTATTTTAGATAATTGAATTCTTCTTGAAAATTTTATTTATGAAAATAATTTAATTTTTCGATTAATTAATTTAAAATAGTATTAAAAATAATTGAAATTCTTCGATGAGTTTTATTATTTATGAAAATAATTGAAGTCTTGCTCAGAATGTTATCAAAATATTTTTTAAATAATTGAATTTCCATGAAAAATGTTATTTTTAGTGTAAGTAATTGACTTTTTTTTAAGAATTGTATAGAAAATTTAAAAATTATAGATTAATTGAATTCCCGTGAAAATTTGATTATTTATGAATTATAAAATGAAAATTTTGTCTTTGTTACTCCGATTTTTATTTTCTTCTATTTTTATACCCATTATCATAATTCGAATTAATTTCAAACTCTATTTTCGACTCTACTTTTCGCCAAATCAAGTGCTAGACAATAAGAGGAGGGGGACGAAGAAAAGGGGAACACAAGCCACATAACAAAATTGATTCGCAAATTAAAAAGTAAGAAAAAAAATAGCGACTAAATATTTGTCTGGGAATCGAGTTTTGTTGACAATGAAGGAATAATATTATAAGTATTTTTGTATACTATACACATATATATATATATATATATATATATATATATATATATATACATATAAAAGTAGGCCCATTATAGCTCAAGGTTTAGAAGTATAATATTTGTGAATTTTTTCTTCTTCTTTTTTTTCCTCTTCTTTATTTTTTCGAGACACGAAGAATTTTAAGACTTTTATAATATATTAAATGCCGAGTGTCTGGACCCCTTGAGAGAGTTGATTTGATTACGTGGGCCGGTATATGTATATGTATATATGTAGACATACGAACTTGACATTTGCAAGGACGCTTTTTGAAAGGAGGAAATAGAAAAGGAGAGAGAGAGAAAAAAAAAATAAAAATAAGAAAAGAAGAAAGAAGGGAAAAAAAATTGAAGAAAAAGAAACAAAAAATGTCGCGCAAGCCGTTAAAGGACGCGCTTCAAAGTCAGCTGTTTGACTATTATAATAATATATGCCTACACCTAATAAAATTCTCATGTCTAGTAATGTCTCACACTTGTTTTGTAAATTATATTAAAACTCTTGCGTAAGGCACGAAAATTACATACATTTCTCTATGGAATTTAATTTATACTTTATATTAATAATTTTCAAATGTAATTTTAATGCTTATTTTAATGCTAATTTAATTATCAAAAATTTTTAAAATGCAAGTTTTAAAATTTTTAAAATATTTATAATCCAATTAACATAAAAATTACTATTATTATTCAGTTATTTAATTACTATATATTAATAATTCAATAATAATAATTAGTAATAGTTAATAATAGTAGTAATAATAGTAATAGTAATAATTAATAATAATAGTAATAATTATAATAAAAAAGCCTTAATATACTTTGCTACTATTATTTAATACAAAATAACAAATAATAAAATTCCAATCGTAAAACTATTAATATTCATTATTCTTTGATTATTAATTACTTATGATTTATTAAAGTGAATTAATCTTTATACAGTGATCTCGATAATTATTTAAGATTGAGTAATCTGCTTTTTGATTTAAGGAAAAAAAAGAGAATAATTCTATTCACGTGTAAAAATAAATAATGACTAATCAATTTTCAGTGATTTAACTTTGAGTGCAGGAAGTTGAATTTATAATATTCTCCAGCTCTTAATATGAAACAAAATTTATTTGACAGAAAGAAGGATGAATATAAATTTTAAATAATAATAATAACTGAATTGATTTAAAGTCGAACTACTAAGATTACTCTTAATAATAATCAGCAATAATATATTAATAATTAATAATTATTACAACTATTACTATTACAATTATTTTACTTTTATATTTATATTTTTGTATTTCAATTTTAACACTTCTTTTTTTCACTCTTACTGCCGTAGGCAGAATTCGAGGTTTCTCATTTTTTAAGGCAATTTTCCAAACACTTTATTATGCATATATTTTTTCCTGGAAAAATAAATATTTTTATTAGTTATTTTAATATTTTAATAATGATATAATTATAACAGTAATAAAAATAATAATAAATACAATAATAATAATAATAATAATAATAATAATAATAATAAAAATAATAATAAAAATAACAATAATAATAATAATTAAAACAATTTATCTACTGTTTTTTATCGAAAATTATTATATTGTTAATATTATTAAATTTTTAGTATTTTTAGTATTATTATATTTTTAATATTATTATATTATTATATTATATTTCGCAATATTTAACTATAATTATACATTTGTAACTGAAATGTGACTTTTCTTGGGTTTCGTCGTTCTCTCTTTCTCTCTCTGTCTGCCTCTGTTTCACTCACTCTCGTCGTGTGTTTGCAATAATTGACGAGAGAGTTAAGGTTACAAGAATGCAGTTAATAATTAGAGCAGCTGGACCAATGAGCAGGAGATTTCCTTTGCCATTAGTTTTACTTCTTGCATAACTTACAGCTGCTGCGCGGTGTTTAATTACAATAATAGAGGCGTTTCGTATTTTTTTCTTTTTCATTTTCTCTCCTTTTTTTTTAATAATCTGGGCGGACACATTTCTTACAATTTTCTTGTCTTAATACCCCCTCCTCTCCCCTATCCTCTTTTCTACTACTCTCTTATTCTCATTCATCAATATTATTCTCTAGTGAATTTATTTTCAAAATCTTACTAGCCAAAAAAAAATCCCATTTCATTTCGTTTATGATCGATTTCAATTTTTCAATTCTTTTTGAATTTCGCCCCAATGCGCGAAATTCATAAAGAATTGAAAAATTAAAATCTTAAGATTCATTGGTTAGGTAAAATTCTAGTATTTTGACTCGCGATGGTAAAGGGATGATGGAGAAAAGGGAAAAAAATGGAAAAAAAGAAAAATGGGAATATTAAGAAGAGAAGATTGAGAGTAGTGGAGAAGTGGGAGAGTGGTCGATAAATATTAGTGGAAGTAAAGGAAGGAATATTTTTTTTCTACGCGGTAGCAGAGAGTCTCTCAAAGAATTGAGTCGAGTCGGTTTTATAGGTGTATGCCTTGAGGCAACGCCATGATAGACAAGGTCAGCCTCTCCCATGTGCGCCTGGACCGACTGCGACTCGTTAACATTTATTTATTTATAAACATTATAAACGCGCACTTGTTCCCTCCCTCTCTGTTCGAATTTTAAAACCATTCACTGCCACTTTCTTTTCCTTAAAAAAACAAAAAAAAACCGTTCACTACTACCGGACTGTCTGACTGTCTTTTTAAAAGAAAAAAAAATCCACTGTTACATTACATTTAAAAAGAAACTTCCCTTTTAATGAAAAAAAATCTCTAATAATTAAAATGATTATAAATTTTTGTTTCAGTCTTTTGTTCCCTCCCTATCTGTATGACATGTTAAAATTATTTACTACACTTTCTTTTAATTTATAAAATAATGAAAAAAGAAAAAAAAATTCTAGAAACGAAAGTGATTTTAAATTTCTGTTCTAGCTGTACATATTGTTATAAAAATTAACTGTAATAATTATATCAATGCTGTACTTTAATTTTAATTATCACTCTTACTGATGTAGGCAGACTTGGAGGATTCTCATTTATAAGGCATTTTTCCAAACACTTTATTAAGCATAAACTTCTTCCTAAAAATCACTCTTAGTGCTTCGAGGATTCTCATTTTTAAGTCATTTTTCCAAACACTTTATTAAGCATATGCTTCTTCCTAAAAATCACTCTTAGTGCTTCGAGGATTCTCATTTTTAAGTCATTTTTCCAAACACTTTATTAAGCATATGCTTCTTCCTAAAAATCACTCTTAGTGCTTCGAGGATTCTCATTTTTAAGTCATTTTTCCAAACACTTTATTAAGCATAAGCTTCTTCCTAAAAATCACTCTTAGTGCTTCGAGGATTCTCATTTTTAAGTCATTTTTCCAAACACTTTATTAAGCATAAGCTTCTTCCTAAAAATCACTCTTAGTGCTTCGAGGATTCTCATTTTTAAGTCATTTTTCCAAACACTTTATTAAGCATAAGCTTCTTCCTAAAAATCACTCTTAGTGCTTCGAGGATTCTCATTTTCAAGGCATTTTTCCAAACACTTCATTAAGCACCCATTTTACCTGAAATTCGATGTCAAAGTCGATGCAATTTTACCATTGAAGCTGAATGTAAAGATCCAGTGAACTGTGAGACTCCAAACAATTTTGGGGCAGCAATTTTCCAAACACTTTATTAAGCACCAATTTTTCCCTGGAAAAAAAATATTATTAATATTAGTTAATTAAAAAACATTAGTGATAATTGATGTGATTATAATTTTTGTTTATTGTTTTCTGTTACAGATATTTGGCAGCAAGGCCGATCTACAGCTTCACACGCAAATTCACATGCGCGAAGCAAAACCCTACAAATGCACCCAATGCTCAAAGGCATTCGCCAATTCCTCGTACCTGTCGCAGCACACACGCATTCATTTGGGCATAAAACCATATCGCTGTGAAATTTGTCAACGTAAATTCACCCAATTAAGCCATTTACAACAGCACATTCGCACTCACACTGGCGACAAACCCTACAAATGTCGACATCCCGGCTGCACCAAGGCATTCAGTCAACTGAGCAATCTCCAATCGCACAGCCGCTGTCATCAAACCGACAAGCCCTACAAGTGTAATTCCTGCTACAAATGTTTCTCCGACGAGCCCAGCCTCCTCGAGCACATACCCAAGCACAAGGAATCGAAACACCTCAAGACCCACATCTGTCAATACTGCGGCAAGAGCTACACCCAGGAGACCTATCTCGCCAAGCACATGCAGAAGCACGCCGAACGCACCGACAAACGACCGCCAATCATCGGCACCGGCTTAAGGCCCTCGATACACGCCATGGCAGCCGCGGCCCACCACCAGGACTATCACTGGCCCAAGGTCAGTCCCGACTCCGTCATCAGCGAACTCCACGATCGTCTCCCACACCATCATCACCCGGGCGACTATCACCAACCACAAAATCCAGCAACCGATGCAATGCTCCTGCATCAGCAGCATCGCGACGCAATTGAAAATGACTCCAGGCAACAAACACCCCAACCAGGTGGCGGCGGCGGTGGAACGACAGTCGTCAATCATCCCAACAGTAGTTCAGCATTCACACCAATATCATCGATATCAATAAATTCAATATCATCAATGCAACATCCTCTCAATCCACTAAATCATTTACATTATCCCGGTAGTCATCATCCAGCGTCACGACCCTATTTATATGAGGCCTTCAACACACAAAAAGCAAGTCCAACAAGTTCAACGGCAATGACACCAGGCAGTGGTGCAACAAATCAAAATGCCGCGACATCATTTCCAAATCAATTAATAAGTTTACATCAAATTAGAAATTATGCGCATCAACCGAATTTAGGTAATCTCGGACAATTGGGAAATTTAAGTAATTTGAGTAATTTGAGTAATTTAAGCGCTAGTATGGAGAGTCACGCGCTACTTGGCGGTCTCAAGGATAAGCAGTAAAAAAAATTAATAACTAATCTAGGCAAAAACCGAAAGAAAAATGCATTCGCCCTTTTTATTTTTTTTTCTCAAAAACTATTGTTCTTTTTCTCAAAAAAAGAAACTTGTTCCTCGAAAAAAATCCGCGAGTGTTAAAAATATTCGTGAGCAAAAAAAATTTGTAAAAACAACGCGCTTTGAAAGCGATAAAAAAAAGGAAACAGAGAGAGAGAGAGAGAAAAAAAGAAGCAACATTTTCATTTTATCGAAAAATATCGATTTATCTCGAAAATTTTTCGATACTATTACAAAATAATTTTTGACATAGGCAAAAATTTTCATTTCAAAAATGAAAAAGTAAGAAAACAGGTCAAAAATAGTGAAAAAATGTCGATACATCGAAATATTTTAATAATCAAAATATATCGATAATCGAAATATAAAATCGATAATCGAGGTATTTCAATAGTCAAAGTAAATAAATCGAAATATTTTGATAATCGAAATAAATCGAAATATACAAATCGATAATTGAAGTTTATAAATCGAAATATATCGATAATCGAAAGTATATACAATCGTATTACAACGATAATCAAAGTATTTACAATCGAAATATATCGATAAATAATCTATACAATCAGAATATATCGATAATAGAAATATATTAATAATCGGCATATGTCGATAGTTAAAATATTTCGATAATCGACATATGTCAATAGTTGAAATTTATCGATAATAGACATACGTCGATAGTTGAAATATATCGATAATCGTAAAATATTTAGAATCGAGTTATAAGCATTCAAAATAAATCAATAATTGAAACATAAACTATCAAAATTATTGAAAACCAAAAAGTATCGATAATTGATTAATTTCTAGTTTAAAACAATCGTTTTATTTCGATAATCGAAGTATGTACAATCGAATTCATTCGATAATCAAAGTATTAACTTTCAAAAAATAATTTAAATCGAAAAGTAATCGATATTCGAAAGGTTACGTCGCTCAAAGTAAAAACCATCAGATTTTATCGATATTCGAAGTTTATACAATCGAAATAAGTCGATAATCAAAGTATAAAAATTGAAATCAATAAATAATCGAAATATTTCGATAATCGAAGAATATAAATAGAAATATATCGATAATCGAAAGTATATACAACAAAAATATTTCAATATACAAATTATTTACAATCAAAATATATCGATAATCGACATATATTGATAATCGAAATATATCGTCAATAAAAATAAAAAAATCGTTTTTAAACAATCCAAGTAAATGCAATCGAAATATATCGATAATCGAAGTAGTATAACAACTGATTTAATATAAATTGAAATATATTGATTACTGATATTTTTTTGCTTTTTAATTTTTTTTTAAATATCGATTATCGAAATAGCTCGAAATCTAATATTTTGATTGTTATGTATCAAATATTTTTTTCTTCTTTTTTAAAAAAAAAGTTCGATAGATCGACATTTTTTTTTCTTTTTTGATAAAAACTAAATCGATAAAGTAAAATTACGTCAATATATCGATAAAATCGATATATCGATTTTTTTTAATTTAATCGATATCGAATATATCAAAAACGGAATATTTTAACAAAAAAGAAAATATATTGAAAATAACTGATCGAAAATCGAATATATATCGAATACATCGATAAAGTCAAATATAGAATGCATGGATATAATCGAAATCGAAAATATCGAAAAAATACTTAAATATCGAAATTTAAATGTCAAAATTCAAAATTATTAATTTTTCATTACCGCAAATAATTAATTAGTAATTATCGCAAATATGGTAATAAGAAAAAAATATGAAAATATTTTGTCAAAATATGAAAAATTAAAAAAAAATATGTGAAAAATAGTGGAAAAATGTTTATTCTTATCCTTTAAAATCTTTCTCTCTCTTTCAGCTGATTTTGCGAAACATAATATAAACGTCGACTCTTTATGGATTTTTGTTATTTTTAAGTTTTCTTCGTTTTCTTTTTAATAATTTTTGTGGAAACTTGTAATGAATTATTAATAATTAATGTTTTTTGTTAATAATAATAATAATTGTTATTATTGACTATTCACATTAAAAAAAACAACATTGTCATCCGAACGCAAAAAAAAAATTCGAAAAATATTGAATTATAATTTATATTAAAAAAAAAAGAGGAAAAGAAAAACAAATGCGATATGTAAATTATACAAATAAATAATATAAACACACACAGAGAAAAAGAGAATGAAAAATAAATAAAAAGAAGAAAAATGAAAAATAAAAGGAGGGGGGAAAAATTGTAACGACTTTTTCTCACACACCCCCCTCACCTTTTCACGGCGACAAGAAAAATGGAATTTTGCATAATTCTTTTTTTTTGTAAAATCATCGTAATTTTTTTTTCTCCTTCAAAAACTACTCGCAATTTCAAAAAATTGTAGTTTCACTTTAAAAAAGAAAAAATTCACGATGAATTTTTACTGTTCTAAAAAAGAAGAAACAAAAACAAACATAAAAAAAAGGTGCTTCGGATTTATGGAGGAATTTTCGTATGGTGGAGAAATTTTGAAAATTTGTTATTTAAGGTGACGTTAGACAAAAAATAAAAATAATTATTATATATTAAAAAAAAAGTGGAAAAAAAAATACAAAAAACTCTTTTTAAAAAAAGTACAAGCGTTTTAGTTGTAGAAAAAAATTTTTTTTTTAGAATTACATATATAAATATATAACAATTTTTTTCTTTTTTTTTCATTGAAAAATATTCGAAACAAAAAGAAAGAAAAAATTGTGTGAAAAATTAATAGAAAAAAATTTTGTTCTCGAAATTCTAAATAAATAAAAACAAACAAAATGTGCGATGAAAGTCTTAGTGTGATGAGATATCGAATTCACTCTTGTCAATTTTCGATATAGATAAATCGATAACTTATCGAAAAAGCAAAAAAAAAAAATTAAAAATCGAACAAATAATGTCTTCGAGTTGTATCGATATATCTCGAAATATACTTTTTATTCGTGTATATTAATATATTGATATATTAATATTAATTATTATTAATATACTTGATATGTTTTAGAAGAAATATTATGTACTTTATATTGTATATATTTTATATATTATATAATGTATATTGTATATTATATCGTATATTATATTGCATATTATATTCTATATTATATTGTATATTATACATTATATGCTTTTATATAATTTACATATAAATTTATATTATATATTATATATATTATGTATATTATATTCGATATATTATATACAATATATTAAATATTAAATTTTCAATTTTATATAATTAAAAAAAAACAATTTCGAAATATATCGATACACGAATATTCGATTTATATCTCGCGATATATGTATATAGATATATGTATATCGAAAAAAAAGAAAACTTTATATAAATGACGAAATAGCTCAATAACTGTCGAAATACATCGATAATTATATCGAAAAAATCGAATTATATCGAAATAATCGAATTATATCGATTTTTTTAAAGAAAAATTATAAAATCGATTTTTATCGATATTTGCGATACTATAATGCGCGCCTATGGGATATTGAACATTTTGTTTTCGATATTTTTAAACATCGATATATTCGTTTCAGAAAAAAAACATATATCGATATTTGACAATTTAAGAAAAAAAACGACACTTTTTTATTTTTTAATAAAAGGGATATTGTAATATTTGTTTTGCAAAGGGAGATAAATAGTTTTTAGTTTTAACAAAAAAAAAATTGATGCAATTGCATAATAAAGCAGAGACTTTCTATTATTATAAATTAATGAAAAAAAAAAAATACTTGTTTGACAAGATAATTGGAAAAATGAAAAAAAAAATTATTGAAATGTTTAAATTAATTTATTATTATTATTATTTCCATTTTTTTGGACTTGTCGCGGCAATGGGCAAAAAAGAATGTTTAAAATTGCAAACGAATTTTTCGCTTTAAGTTTCTTTTTAAATATTTACTTTTCTTTTAAAAAAAATTTTTTTTTGTACATATTTTCTTTTTTTTTGTTCTTTTAAATTTTTAAATGGAAACCATTGGTTTTTTTTCGAAATAAAATAAAAGACTCTGTTCTGTAGACAAGGTACTTAAAAAAAAATTCTTGTAAGTTACTTTATATACCTACCTACCAAATATTTAATTATTATAACAATAATATATATTTATTTATATATTTTTATATATAATATAATAGTTGATATTATATTATTCAAAGAGATCTCTCAATTAATTTCTCTTTATTATAATAAAACAATTTTTTTTTTATTTTACATTTTTCTCTCCAGATTTTATTTTTGAATTTTTCATATTTCAAAAATTATGATTTTTATATTTAACGCATTTTTCTTTCTTTTAAATTTGATTCAAATTTGAATTTAAATTTGATAAAAACCCACTCTTTTGACAATTTTTTTCTCTTGATTCAAAAAAATGTTTTCTTTTTAAATTTTTCGTTTTTTTTACTTTTTACTAAAATAATAAATCTTTCTCACAATACCTTTTGTTTAACGCAACAACAAAAGAGAGAGAGAAAATTTTCGAAAAAAAAATTTCTTTTTTATTTATTTATTATAACAAAGTTTCTTTTAAATTTATATAATAATTCTACGAGAGAGAAAAAAAAAGAATTTTACTTCCTTGACATTTTCAATTTGCAAGGGTTTAGATTTATAAGACGAAAACAATAATTTCAATATCCTGTAAAGAAAAAAAGAGAAATATCGATATAATCGATATTAAAAAAGAAAAAAAAAATTTTTTTTGAACAGATATATCGACAGTTTAAAAAAATATATATCGATAGGGATCAAAGGGACCCCGCGCTTTAATTGTGATTTATATCTTTTTTTTAGTTTCTATGAGGATGATTGTTATTATGTTATAATTATTATTATTATTATTATTATTAATTATTATTATTATTATTATCATAATTATAATTTCGTTTAATAAACTTATCACGTTAAAAGAATTCCAAACCTAAAAATATAAACGGGCATTTTTTATTTTTCTTCACTTTATCACATAATATACTTCACTGCACATTCCTTTTAATAATAATAATACCTTTTTAATCCTTTTTTATTATCCAGAATAGCTAATATTATAGTTCCTTTATTTTTATTCGATAATTAAATATATATATTTTCATCAATTTTCTATATTTAAAATAATTTTAAACAAAAAATAATCAATTCAATCAGAATTTTTATAATTTACCAATTTAAAATTTTAAAATTTTATTTTAGTAAAATAAAATTTTTAATTACATATGTAATTAAAATCTTTTTACCAATTTATTATTTTTTTTTATCAATATTCAACATTTTTTTCTATAAATTACTTTATAATTTAATTATTAAATTTACTTTATACTTTTTAATTTTTCTATAAAAAATATTTTATTCAAATCAATTATTTTCGATTTGTCGACCATTAACATCGATTATTAGTATCGATATTTCGATTATTAGCCACGATTGGAAAAACAGACGATATTTATTAGCATCGATTTCAATTATCGACTATCGATATTTTAATTATTAAATTTGATATATCGTTTTCAACTATCGATAGTAAAATTATCGACTATTAATATTTGAATTATTAAAATCGATATATCGATTTCAACTTTCGATATTTCAATTTTTGGCATTGATATATCGAATTTCAAATATCAATATTTCAATTATTAATATCGATTTTTACTATCGATATTTTAATTATTAACATCAATATATATCGAATTCAATTATCGATTTTAAGGTGTCGAGATCGATATATCAATTATTAGTATCGATATTTCGATTGTTAGTATCGATATATTGATTATTATCCGATATTTTATTATTAACTTTGATATTTCGATTGTTAGCATAAAATTACTAATTGATAATCAATGTTTCGAGTATTTGGATCGATATATCGAATTTAAATAATTTTGATTCTTATTACTATCATCGATATTAAAAATTGTTGACTTATTTTTTTTTCTTCATTTATTTTTATTTATTGATAAAAAATTCAAAAATATTTATAAGGATGTCTCATCACAAGTGAAGAATTCCATATTGCTCATCGCTTTTAATTAGTAGCGAAAATTAATATTAATTTTTGTGTAATAAAAAAAAATATTAATTTTTATTCAAGAAAATATTTATTATTGAAAATAAAAAAAAATATGAGAATAAAATAAATTTTTTTTATTCTTTCGAGTTTTAACAAGTTGTTAATTTTTTTTTTATTAAATTATTATTATTATTAAAATTCTTATTTGAGGTGAAAATTTCTCGATAACGGAGAAAAGTATTAATGAAAAATATAAGTAAATAAATGACTGTCGCCATCCTGTCACTGTGCAAGAGTTCCAAATCTATTCAAACGAATACCGTCCATAAATCTTTATTACATCGCTCTACATGACGTCAATGCATTTTTCGCTCTTTTCTGGTCAATAACTGTTTTCTTGTTTTCTTTTTGTTGTATATAACCATTTTTTTCGGGTGATATTATTATTAATTTTAAAATCCAACTTTTTTTCTTTTTAAAAAAAAATTTTTTTTTATTGTTAGAAATATTTATAAATAATAAAACCGAAAGTGTTGTTCTTTGGACTTTAATGTTGAACATAAAACGTAACAACTGTTATGAAAATGAATTTTTATTAAAAGGTATTTAAATAACAGTAAAAGAAAATTCTAAAAAAATTTATTTAAATTAAAAAAATTTATTTAAAAAATTTATTTTAATTCAAAAAATTTATTTAAATTCAGGAAAGTAAAATTTGAAACTTATAATTTTTCAATTGAAAGAAATCTCCAATTATTATTACGTTACTGTTACATTTTACAACTGAACAACTTTCTATAAGAAAAGCAAAAAAAATCACTTTATTTAAATTTAAACCCAATTTTCAAATTTTCTCTTTTTTTCCCCCATTTTAATTACAAGAATCCACAATTATTTTTACTTCTCAGTTGTTTACTATATCCGTAAGAAAATAAAAAATGTCGATTTAAAA